AAACACAATGTTAAATAAAAGATTCAGGTTGAGTAATTGTTATCACATGCTCCCAACCTGTTTAAAAATAGGTAAAACAACTTTACCACCACAGTAAGTGCTCATTCCCTTTGGGGAAGGATAAAGAAGTTCCTGCTTTACTCTGTATTATTTGACTCTATTTACAAAATGAGAGTATTCATGAATTGCTTGGGTAACTTTTAAAGACTGAAAAACGAAACAAGACGTTGTTGCCTTTTAAGGGCAGTCACAGAATTTGAGGAAGAATCTTTCTTTAGCTGTAAGCCAAGCTATCAGTTAAGAAGAAACAAAAGTTTAATGAAAATACATAGGGGAGGGGAGGAAGAAAGGGGAGGGGGGAATTGTAAGGTTCACTGGATTAATACCAATGAACTCAACAAATTCTCCAAGAGCTAACACAAATGTCTTCTCTTCAGTGAGGTCTTTCCCTTTTGTTTTCTAAAGCTCCCTAGGTAACTGTTGCCCTTCAGAAGTGACACTTACTTGGACCTCATTAGATGAGCATCCCTGTCTCAGTGGAGGTCTGTGATCCTGTGCTAAGCTGACCAACTGTCAACACTTGACACACATCCATTTGCTACAAATCCCAAATGGTTATGTTCCAGAAACTCACCTACAGTTTCATTTTCAGAAATTCAAACGACTCCTACCCACTATCCTCAACTCCCCCAACAAACCAGCTTCACAACTATTTGGTCAAAAGGGCAAGTCCCCTCTTTCCTTCAGGGATTCCTCAGAGCAGAGCTCTAAGGACAGTTACCTTTCCACGACAGGAAAAAGGGCCCCTCTGACTTACCTTGAAAGCTACAACTTTTCCGGATGTGATACAAGCAGATCTGATCACTCTCTCCTGCTCAAAGTGTTTGGGGATACAGAACCTGAACTGTCTCTTCTCTACAAAGAAACCACAAAAATGTATCAGCTTCTAAGGAAGCTTTGATACAGGATTTCAGTAGTTCAGGTACAAAACAGGGAGAATTCATTCATCTCTCTGCACCAAGACAAAAGCCCCCCAAGGTAGCTGACAAAATCCTGTTAGGGATCAAGGTACCTCCAAACACATAGGAGGGCACCCTGCTTGCTAGGAAGAAAGTCACACAGCTGCTTATTAAACCAGGACATTATGAAAGGATTCTTCTCAACTTTGGCTGTCCACCCAAATCACTAGGGAGATGGCAAATGGAAGGCTAGTTTTTTATTGTTTGATTTTACATAAAGTACTTATTAATGAACTCTTAGACTAGATACTAATAACCAAAAAATAAGGCACTACATAGAAAACTTACATTCAAATGAAACCACTCCTTCATTAATTTTAGGTTAATTATGAAGTTTTTAATATTAAAAGGACATGTATGTGCTGTCAAAGTTTACCTATCCTGGTATCATGCCAATGAGTCTTTCTTTTTAAGGAATCATTAATAATACAGGGGGCTGCACTGTGACAATTTTATAGATGTGTACAGTGTATCTGAACAAGTTCACCCCTTCCATTATATTCCCTAATCTCCCTCCTCTTTCCCCTTTCCAAAAAAATACTTGATGGGTTTCATTACACCATCTTCATAAATATACATGAAATATACTTCAAACCTCTTCACCCTCTCATTATCCCTCTCCCACTGACCCCCTCAATAGTTCCCCTTTTATATCCGTGTCCCTCCAATGAGTCTTTACCTGTTACATGTACCCCCCGCCACTTGTCCTTAAATAAGCATGCTACCTGTTGTTTGTTGATCTCTCTTCATTGCCTTTTTATAAGCCCCAAGATGTGTTACAGAGGCTGTAATACCTGACAGACCATGTCTATGGGCCCTGAGAAGAGAGGGACCTTCTCTCTTTTCCCCCAGGCTGGCGACTACTCTAGGGACCTGACTTCGCTGAGTAATGGACACTCTCTCTCCTTTTAACAAGGGCGTAATCCAACTGACACTATAAGCATCTACTTAAGAAAAACTGTCTAGTGCTGGCTTCCTACAACTGAACGGGATTAACAAGAAATAACTGAAGAAAATGTAAAGGAGGAAAACAGAGCAAGCACAATTTTGGAAGTATAGCAATCAGACCAAGAGAGTGTGCTGGCGAGCCCTGATGCTTTAGGAGTAGATTATTAACAATCACAGCGATGTCTGCAGTTAAACCAGTGGCATTGATCATGCCACTCTGAGAGGGCACGGCTCTCATTCACATATAACCAGGGCCCAGGAACAGAGCCCGGCCACATGGTAAGCATCCACGGTTGCTAAGTGAAGGGAATGGAGTACGAGAGTGGCCAGCCAGTGGCCTCTAAGGTAAACCCAAACGGAACCAATATTTCAAAAGCTCCCTTAGTTACCCCTGTATTATTTCACCTGCCACATGTACCAGGTACTCAAGAAATGCCTCATTAAATTAAATTACCTCTACCTTAGGCATGGAGGTATGTACCTGTAAGCCCAGCTGTTGGGGCAGGAGGGACTCACTTGAGCCCAGGAATTCAAGGCCAGCCTGGGGGGGTAATGTAGTGAGACCCCATTTTAAAAAGAAAATATCTTATTAAAATTGCCCATTTATCTGTCACTAAGATTGATTGTTCCTTTAAAAAAAAATAAATATCCAGCTGTGCACCATTTGGCTCACACCTATAATCCTAGCTACTTGGGAGGCTGAGATTGGGAGGATTGATGTTTGAGGCCAGCCCAGGCACAGTCTATAAGAGCCCCATCTCTAAAATAACGAGAGCAAAATTGGAATGGAGGGTGGCTCAGGCAGTACAGCGCCTACTTTGCAAGTGCAAAGTCTTGAGTTCATATCCTAATCCCACTTAAAATAAATAAATAAAAACCCTAAGTATGCTAGCACCACTCAGTCATTCAAAAATAGCAAGGGTTCAAACTCTTCAGTTGGATACAGGAAAGAGTAGGAAATACTCTGGAGTTTAGGTATAGGCAAGAACTTTCTCAATGAAACCCCAGCAGCACAGCAACTAAGAGATAGCATAGATAAATGGGACCTCATAAAACTAAAAAGCTTCTGTTCATCAAAGAAATGGTCTCTAAACTGAAGAGAACACCCACAGAGTGGGAGAAAATATTTGCCAACTATACATCAGACAAAGGACTGATAACCAGAATATACAGGGAACTTAAAAAACTAAATTCTCCCAAAACTAATGAACCAATAAAGAAATGGGCACGTGAACTAAACAGAACTTTCTCAAAAGAAGAAATTCAAATGGCCAGAAAACACATGAAAAAATGCTCACCATCTCTAGCAATAAAGGAAATGCAAAATTAAAACCACGCTAAGATTCCACCTCACCCCTGTTAGAATAGCCATCATCAGCAACACACCAACAACAGGTGTTGGCGAGGATGCGGGGAAAAAGGAACCCCTCTTACACTGTTGGTGGGAATTAGACTAGTACAACCACTCTGGAAAAAAATTTGGAGGCTATTTAAAAAGCTGGACATCGATCTACCATTTGATCCAGCAATACCACTCTTGGGGATATACCCAAAAGACTGTTACTCCAGAGGCACCTGCACATCCATGTTTATTGCGGCACTATTCACAATAGCCAAGTTATGGAAACAGCCAAGATGCCCCACACTGACGAATGGATTAAGAAAATGTGGTATCTATACACAATGGAATTTTATGCAGCCATGAAGAAGAACGAAATGTTATCATTCGCTGGTAAATGGATGGAATTGGAGAACATCATTCTGAGTGAGGTTAGCCTGGCTCAAAAACCAAAATCGTATGTTCTCCCTCATATGTGGACATTAGATCAAGGGCAAACACAACAAGGGGATTGGACTATGAGCACATGATAAAAGCGAGAGCACACAAGGGAGGGGTGAGGATAGGTAAGACCACCTAAAAAACTAGCTAGCATTTGTTGCCCTTAACAGAGGAAACTAAAGCAGATACCTTAAAGCAACTGAGGCCAATAGGAAAAGGGGAACAGGTACTAGAGAAAAGGTTAGATCAAAAGAATTAACCTAGAAGGTAACACCACGCACAGGAAATCAATGTGAGTCAATGCCCTGTATAGCTATCCTTATCTCAACCAGCAAAAACCCTTGTTCCTTCCTATTATTGCTTATACTCTCTCTACAACAAAATTAGAAATAAGGGCAAAATAGTTTCTGCTGGGTATTGGGGGGAGAGGGAGGGGCGGAGTGGGTGGTAAGGGAGGGGTGGGGGCAGGGGGAGAAATGAACCAATCCTTGTATGCACATATGAATAATAAAAGAAAAATGAAAAAAAAAAAGCAGTGAACATATACAAGATAAATGATACAAATAAACATGATTCTTCAAAGCCTAAAAAAAAAAAAAAAAAAATAGCAAGGGTTACTGTGAACCAGGCACTCTGTGTATTGGAAGAGAAATAGAAAACAAGGCAGACAAATTTATAATAAGGGAAAAAATTCTATTTACTCATGGCAGGAAGATGGGCAAAGCCAAAAGTTAAAAATGCCTCCTGCACTCATTTCGTAAAATCCAAATAGAATACTGTGCAAAAGATGCCCCTGAGCATGCAGCATGACATCCTAAATCTGGGTCCCCATTGAAAGCAAGCTCTCCCAAGGTGGAAGAAAACTGTACCAGGGGAGAAGCTGATGCCCCAATTTCAGGGCCAATCAGACACTAAAACCCATCAAATACAACCCCATCAACTCGAGAACTCAAAACCCATCAACACCAACTCACACTGTTTGACCATGTCTATGATCCTCCTAGCCTGGGTAATGTAGTGAGATCCCATTTTAAAAGAAATACCTGCTTAAAATTTCCCGTTTATCTGTCACTAAGCTTGATTGTTACCTTAAATAAATAAATAAATAAATAAATCAGCATCCAGCTGCACACAGTGGCTCACACCTGTAATCCTTTTACTAAAAGAAGTCCAGACTTGCCCAAAGTCCAGATTCTATTCACTGGCCACGAGCATTCAGAGGCAGCAGCACTTCCCACCGGCCTTACCAGAAGTCCCCGGGGTGCCTACAGGAGGAGAGGGCACTTTGGTGTGGGCAGAGTCCTTGTTCTTGATGTCATGTGCATTTCTGTAAATGGAAGGCAGCCTGCTCACCAGGTCAGAGCTCATGCCCAACCTCTCCAATTTCTCCAGATTCTCAGTATTGGAGAAATCATGGGATCTCTTACAGCTAGTGCCAAACTTGCACTCCCTTGTAAGAAGTACTGGCAGATATGGAGTTTGTTACATTTATCTTGAAAGGAACAAGCCAAAGGTCCGTCTCCTTTGTTGTAATGTACGCAGATCTGTAGACAGAGAAGAAAAAGACATCAGCCCAGGAAGGCCTCCCTCAATACACCTCCCTGCCCACCAGGTCCTGGTGAGAAAAGGCCTCACAACCAAGGTGTGATTCCATGGTCCACAAGGGCCACAGATAGGAGACTATCCCTTACTCAAGATGATGGCTGTCAGCAGATTACCTCAGCTAACATACATTCAGAATAACCCCCTCCACTGGGAAGATCCAAAGAACCAGCCTCCTAAGAACCCCCCAATCTACCTATGTTCACCCCACCCCCCCCCGACAGCCTCACTGAATCTTCCCTACTAGGCTCCAGTTTCTCTCAACTCTCCTTTCTACAACTCAGAGACAGAGAGAGGCTCTGAGGGTTAAAAGCATCTCAGAGCAGGCCACACATCCCCTCTTCATTTCTTGAGGGAGTTAGCAGACTCAGAGTTCAACATCTGGCTCCAGTCACACAGCTATTGGTAGCATTGGATTGCTGGCAAACCTGCAATTTGAACTTCAATCAATTGTTCCTTCTTCTCTACACTCAAAATTCCTGGAGATGGAAACCAGGCCCCCACCCAATTCCCAGGCACTGCATTTCACAAGATGCAGGAATGCCCCAGAACACTGTGGAACCCTGGCTTTGACTAGCAAAATCCTCCCCTTGAAGGATGGAAGCCCCAAGGGGAAAGGTCAGAGCACAGACTATCCCATTTAAAGGCTATCTGATCGTCAGAAAATCACTCATCAGCCCTGGGATTCTGGGTTTTAATCCCTAAATGGGAATAATCCCATCAAAATCACATGGCTGTTGTGAGAACTAAATAGGAAAATATGAAGGGACCAATCAATACAGTGCCTACATGTAGTGAGTTCCTGATCTATAGTGGCCACCCCAGCCAGTCATCTGGTAAGGGACTAAAATGGAAACAGAAGTCCTGCCTGACAGTCACTCTGGGTCTCATCTCCCATGTGCTGGAAGGCATTCTCAGCTAACCTACACATCCCAGCAGAAAGGCTGCAAAATGGGTCACCCACTAGTCACCTACTGCCTGCCTTCTGATTTGCTAGTCTCACTACTGGCAAGATGACCTCTCCCAAATGTTAATGCCCATTCTCTGACACGATGCTATCCACACTCCTTCCTGGAATACAAAGGCCTGCACAGATGGGTCTCTGCCCATGCAGTTCTCTTTCTTCCCCTCCTTTGCCCCACATTCTGGTCACAATGAGTCACGCAGTGCTCCTGACTATACCAGCCCCTACTGTGGGGCAGCCTCAGAGAACACAGAGCTCCTTTCCCAGACCTCCCTCACCTTCCCTGCCTTGCTCTTACTCATCCTTCAGCACTCAGAATAGGCATCATCTATTTCAGTATGCCTTCCAAGCGCCCAAACTCCAGTGCCCCAGAGCCCAGAGCATCTCAAACACCACTCTGCAATTATCCTCTGACCTGCCTATCTCACCATCCAAGGCGCCTCATCACCAGTGCCCAACCTATGCTGGATATTCCTGAAAAGTTAACTAAATCAACTCAACACTAATTTTCAAAAGTAAAAAGTTAACATCTACTGTGTGACAGTCATACTAATGTAACATCTTTCTCAACTTGATGACTTTAGTTGACGAATAAAGAAGCGTTTCATTAAAATATGCCAATCTAACCTCTGTGACCTCAAACCAGAAACAGTGTCAAAGCATTCTATGCAACCTGCGCACACCACAGGAACACCCCATTCCATCTGCTGATGAAACTTGGGTCCCAGATACTGCCCTCTAGAGCCACTGCTTGTTCATGATAGAACCCCATACTGATCCTAAAGCAGACTGGATCTGCATCTGGTGAGTCACAGCCCTTTCCCTTCCTTCTTTCCTGCCATGACTGTTGGACTTGCTGCTCTGTTTTCTGAAGGCTTTCCATACCTTCTCCTGCTCCCTACTTCCAGTGAGTCCCTCACATTGCTAATCCCTACCAACTGATTCAGAATCAACGCAGTGAGCCGTCCACAATCTGAGAATTCACATCAGCTAATCTTCAAAACTCCCTGGGTGTGAATGAGTGGGTAGAGAGCACATCCTATGACTGCTGTCAGCAGCTCTGGAAGACTTCCTCACAGATCAGTGGGATCCAGTCATACCCAGCCATGCGATTCTCATTCCTGCTGCCCAGGAATGGGCCCCCCTGGGGTCCCTCATTCCCCTCAGTTCTGTGTTAGTAGCAGCTGCTGCAGGTGCTGGTCAAACAGGTTCCCTCAACCTCACTGAAGCCCTGCAAGGGCGGTACCAGCCCAACTTAAAGGGAAGGAAAGGAAGTTTCAAAATCACAAGTCTAGAAATCAGCACACAGAAATTAAACCCAGGTTTTCTCCATGCAATGTTCTTTGCCAGGATGGAGTCCTTCTCTTCAGCTTCCTTGTCTTCCAACCATCTGGCCTCTCCCCTAATATCTACAGAGAAGCCCCTTGCCACCCCGTTGGCACTCACTTCCGGCAAAAGCCAGGGGTCATTCTGAAACAAGAGTTGACAGAGTTCACTATAGGTGAGGTGGTCAACACCATGAGTTTTTAGCACACTGACGTTGTGATCAGTTGTCAAGCTGTGACCATTCCTACAGTTCTTCCTGCAAAGAAGCAGAGATGATGTTATAGACTACATTGTCTCTCTCCAAAATATCTATGTTGCAGTCCTAACTCTCAGAGCCTCAGGATGCAATTGCATTTGCAAACAAAGTATTGAAAGAGGTAATTAAATTAAAATGAGGTAATTAGGGTAGATAATTAGGACACTAATATGTCTGCTGTCCTTACAAGAAGAGATTGGTACATGGACCCACATAGGGGAAAGACCGCATGAGTACACAGTGAGAAGGTGGCCATCTGCAAACCAAGGAAGGGGCCTCAGAAGAACCAAACCCTGCCAACACCTTATCTCAAACCTTCCAGCCTCCAGAATTTTGGGGAAGGTATAATCCCAGCACTTGGAAAGCTAAGGCAGGAAGATCTCAAGTTGGAGGCCAGCCTAAGCTACATAGTGAGACCCTGTCCCAACAAACAAAAATGTAGCCAGTCTATGGTACTTTATGAAAGCCCAGCAAACTTACACAGCTGGTGAAATCAGTCTTCATGACAATTTTTCAGGACTACTTCCTTACCCTGTTTATAAGCACCAGAGGAAAAACAAGAACATCTATGCAATGAAAGTATAACACTTATTCACCAAGGAAGGGATGGCACTGTGCAATGTCTAGAGCCCAGCACAACTCTCAGAGGGCATTTGATGAGAATGACAGGGCCATCATGAAGAGAGGCACCACAGCACACTGGACACTCAATACACACTTAAACATGGGCTAAATAAATGGGCAGGCTGCTTTACAGTACTAGGTGTGTGTACACAAACCCAGGGAGACACACAAACATGTATGTACACATACATGTGTGTACCTGATCCCAGCCCTTGGTTTAGCCCCATTCCGCCATACTTTTGATCCAAAAGTATCCGAGGAGCTCTGGCTATGAGCCACGCACTGGCACCCCGCCCTCATGACCCAAAGATAAACTTTTGAATGACTTTCTGAGTCACCAGGAAAAGTCAGGCAGCTATTTGCTTGATACAGACACTGCCATTCCTCATATTCCATGCCTATAATAAGTATCTCAAAGAACACCAAACCCTGATCCACTCCCAAACCCATACCTCCCAATTGACTCCTCCATCTCAAAGTTAACTTTCCTCTTCTATCACAGACCAAAAACTTTGAAGTCATCCTTAATTCCTCTGTCTCTCATCTGGTGGAGGTGACAGATACAGAGTGACTCAAATATGGAATGGAAAGTTCAAGTCAGCTAATGGTGAGCAGACAGCAGCACAGAAGGAAAGACAGTTGGGGAGAGAACTGCGGGAAAAACCAGGGGAGGCTGCTGGAAGGTGTAAAGCCCTAAGACAAATAGATAAAGGGTATGGAGAAACCAGATAAGCAAAGGAATGCAGAACGTCATAGGCAGAGGGGCAAATAAATTGGTGCTGTCAGAGCCAAATATACCTAATAATTACAATGATGGTGGCTGATGATGACAATGACAGCAACAGCTAAAACTTATTGAGCATTTACCATGTACCAGGGACTGCCTAAATGGTTCATGAAAACTCATCCAGTTTCAATGAGTCTGGGAGAGTACTATTACACCCATTTCACAGATGAGGGAACTAAGGCTTGGAAGTAAAGTCACTTGCCCAAGGTCATCAGCCAGCAAGGAGCAGGGCTGGGTTACAAAGGTAGCTATAAAGCTCTCGGCCACCAGGCATACTGTCTGCTGAGCAAAGGATTATGAGGTTCAGGCCAGAGACCAGGACAGGAGCTAATCCCGCAATAAGGAAGACAAGTAGAGTCACAGGGAAAACAAAGTGCAGCCAAACACCCACTTTCCTTTAGGTGAGCCATCCAAAAGGAATGTTCAAGAAACTCTTGCGTAAATCAAGAAAAAAAGAAAGGTGAAGAAAGAAGAAGAAAAAAACTCAGTCATTTAGGCCAGTAAATATCAGATGGCCAGATTTCCAAGATAAATAAAAATCTGTCTTCAAATTTGGAGAACTAGCTCAAGAATAGAGCTGCCATTTTTATCATACTAACTATGCACATTAAGATTCCCTAGGAGCTGGAGGTATATGGCCCAAGTGGTAGAGCATCTGTCTAGCAATCACCAGGTCCTGAGTTCAAACTCCAGTACTGCCAGGAAAAAACAATGTGGAGACAAAAGATTCCCTGGTGATCCCCATCACTGGATTCATCCAATCACCACTCTTCCTTTCTCCCCTAAGGTGGCTTGTCTCTGCAGGGTTCCACCCTCAGCCTCTTTACAGTCTCAGACCCCCTCCTCAGATCAGATCCACCTCTAGGGCTGGGGCCACACTGTACACCACCCAACATCTCCCAAACCAGTACCTTGGTGTGTGGGGGGTAAGTCTTTTCTTCTGAGCTTCAGACCTGGGTAGAAAAAAAAATCCTCTCCTGCTCTCAATCCACAGGAGTAAAAACCAGTGAGAGTCATTACCTTCTTCTTCAGCTTCTCTTTCCACTGTCGCCAACTCCTCAAACACACACATCCCTGGGAAAGCTTCAATCTGGTATTTCTAGTCAGCTAGTTCCTAGGGACTGTACTTCCCAGGCCCCTTGCATCCATACAGGGTCATAAGATAGCTCCTAGTCAATGGGACGTGAGTGGAAGGATATCCACCACTTCTAGAGCTGGCCCACAAAAACTTTTTCCATGTACCCCTCCAATGTGGTACCTAGAATGGCCTCAAGAGCCATGTGTTGAGGGCAGAGACTAGGTGGGTCAGCCTGGATCTCTGAATGACTGCATGGATCAAGGCCCTTATGCCAGGCCATTAAACCTGACACAAGCAAGAAATGTCAGGGCTGGGGTGTGGCTCAAAAGGTACAGCACTTGCCTATCAAGTGAGAAGCCCTGATGGAGGGAGGGAGGGAGGAAGGAAGAAGGAAGCCTGCCATGTTAAGAAAAAGATGAGAGAGGAAGAAGGAAGAGAAAGAAGGATAGAAGGAAAGAAGGGAAGAACTAATTCTCCTAGACAACTGGACAAATTCCTTAAATTAGCAGCCACACCACAATGTGAAACCTCCTCCTAAATCTGATGGTTGCTCTCTCCTGCCATTTGATGGGTAACGTCTAAATTCTTTAGTGTATGTCACAAATCTCACTGGCCACCTGCCATATACTGGTGCTGGGAGACCGGCAGTCAGGGTCAAGCTAGCTGGGGCCTCTGTCCTTAGGAAGTTTAACACTGGGGGAGGTGAGGGCGGTCATTATAAGGACAATAAACAGCATGATGAAGAGTAAGAAGAAAGGTGCTCTTTGGTGAGACCTGAGGCATTAACGAAGCAAGCCAGGAACGGCCTTCCAGGCAGAGCCAGGCCACCAGATGAACCAAGGCTGGGCGGAGGAGGTACCGAAGGGCACCCAGGAGGGCCAAGGCTGGGGAGGTCCGGCTGGAACCGGTACCCTAAGGCCTTTGAGGGCGATGAAAGGAGTTTGCAGGTTCAGCTTCCAGGCAGGTGAACAGGAGTAGGGTGAAGTTTTCAGAGCTTCCTGGCAGCTGCTGGGCACAGAAAGCCTGGCTGCCTGGCCCTCCAATCGAGGTCACGGTGCAGCCCCAGGCCACCCCGTCCCTCCCCCACCCCGTTCCACGCCTCGGCGTCCCGGCCACCACCACCTTCTGTCTAAGCCAGTGGGTCCTCAGAGCGCGTCCTCGCTTGACCCCGGTCTCTGACACCGTTCCTGGCACCAAGCATCCGGGGGCAAGGCCACTGCGCGGGCTTGGGGTGCGGAGGGGCCCCGCGGCGTCTTACCCGGCCCTCAGGAACTTGCAGGCGCCGTAGACCATGAACTTGCAGAGGTGCAGCTGCGCGCAGACCCCCACGCAGGCGGGCTTGGAGCCCTGGTGCGCGCGGCACAGGCGCAGCGGCGACGCGGCCAGCACCACGCGCTCGCGGGCCGCCGCCACGCCGCCCGCGCCCGCGCCCGCCCGCGCCGCCACCACGAAGCGCCCGCGCTCCCGCAGCAGCCGCTCCAGCGCGTCGGTGCTCATGCCCGCCCGCAAGCGGCGTCGCAGCTCCGACAGCTCCAAGGCGCCGCCGGCCGCGCACAGCACCTGGGTCACCTCGCCCCACGACGACGGCGGCCTGAGCCATGGCGGTCCGACAGCGGCTACGGCAGCGGCGACGGCTGGGGGCCGGCCCGGCTGCTCCTTGGGGTGGAGACGCTGGCAGGGAAACGAAACCGAAAGCCGGCCCGGCGAAGGCGAGCAGGAAGACAGAACCCGTGCGGCGTCGCCACGCCCCGGGCCGCAGCTGAGCGGCCGGCGCCCTCGCCTCAGGGCCCCCAGCTGGGCGCCCGCCGCGCGCCCGATGACGCGCCGGCGCACGGGGTCTCCCAGGGCGCCCCCCGCCAGGCAGGACGACGGCCCGACGGAGGGATGCGCGCCCGGCCCGCCGGGCAAGTGCAACCGTCGCTCCAGGCCACTTGAGCTTCCGCGCATGCATTGTGTGCCCTTTAAAAAAGCAAATTCCAGCGTGAGAACGATGGCCCGCCCTGCCCCTGCCGAATAAAGATTGAGGCGCGGGTTGGGAAAGTCCTCCGGGCAAGTTATGGGGACCAGCTGTTCGAACGTAAAGGGAGCGTGCCCCTTGACCCTGCGATCTGTCCTCCCGAAGGATCAGTGCAGAAGTCGGAGCGTACAAGTGTTTGTGGAGGACCACGCACGTGGACGGCCCTTCCCAGCGAGCGCTGTCTGCCTTTGGTCAGAGGGACATCCGTGATGGGCTACGTGGGAGAAAAGATGGCTGTATAGAGGTGTCTGAGTAACAAAAAGCGAGTCCCATTTGTGGGTGCGAAGCAGGATTTTCTGAGCAATGAAAAAAACTAGCGAAAGTGAAATTTTAGAGCTCTAGAAATTAAAGGTTTGCAGCAACTCATAGCATTTAGTCAAGAAAAGCAGCTGGATCTCAGTAAGAGCAACAGTCTTTGTAGCAGTGTGTGTGTGTGTTATATTGACGTTTCAGCTTCCGGCTCTGAGCCTGTAGGCAGGTACTCTACCACTTGAGCCTTGTCATCAGCCTCTTTGTAACATTTTAACTTACCCTACTTCTCAATCTCCTCGTCCAGCTCCGTGGCAACCTTGAAAAATAACAGCCCACATTCCACAACATCAGAGGGAACAGACAGGGCTGGAGCACTTGCAAAGTTTCATCCCCAAGGAAGTATTAGCGTGTGACCCACTAGTGGGAAGACCCCCTCAAAAGGCTTGTCTTTATTTGGCTTCATTGGAACTAGCCATGTCTGTTGTCTATTTTTTTGTGGTACTGGTTTGATTCAGGGCCTCACACTTGCCAGGCAGGCGCTCTATCACTTGAGCTACCTCCCTTGCCCTTTCCCTTTTTAGTTATTTTTGAGATAGGGTCTCTCGGTTTTGCCTAGGGCCAGCTGGAACCATAACCGTTCTGCACGGCTGGAACCACAGGCACATACATGTCTGGCTTGTTGGTTGATAGCTTGTTAGCTTTTTGCCTGAGCTGGCCTCAAACTGCAGTCCTCTGGGATCTCTGCCTTCTGTGTAGCTGGGATTACAGATGTGAGCCACTGTGCCCAGTCTCAAACCTTTTAATATCACAACTGGCTGAGGCAATGGGTAACAGTTGGGTAAAACAATATGGAATAACCAAAAAGCTGAAGAATGAGGGGCTTTAAAAAGTGCTGGCATAATTTTAGAACCTAAAAGTCCACATGCATGTGTGGGACTGTTCACATGCTCAGCAAACACCCAAAGACTGTAACCTCTATTTGGTGGTGAGAGGGGTCTACCCAAGCAGAAAGTAAAAGCTATGCATACTTGCAAACTGTCTGACTGTTGAAGGCATGTGCCAGAATGAGCCAGAGCCTCTTAGCAAAGACAAGGGGACATGCTGGTTCCAGGTGTTTAAGGAAGTCTCCATTTAATCATTAGCTGATCAGTAGATATGTACCTTACCAAATTACTTTGGAAAAATAACTAAACAAATAAACAGCAACTACAATAATGAGCAGAAACAACAAACCCCAAGGAGAAAGAGAAATCTGACTTTGGGAGCTGCCATGTTATTTGAAATGTCCAATTTTCAACCAAGTATTATGAGACATGTAAAGAAACAAAATATGCTGGCCACCAGTGGCTCACACCTGTAATCCTAGCTATTTGGGAGGCTGAGATCAAGAGGATCAAGGCCAGCTCAGGCAAATTGTACACACAAGACCATCTCTGAACTAACCAGAGCAAAATGGAATGAAGGTGTGGCTCAAGCAGTAGGTGATCCGAGTGCAAAGCCCTGCATTCAAACCCCAGTGCCACCAAAAAAAAAAAAAAAAAAGGAAAGTATGATCCATACAAAGAAATAAGAGCAATCAACAAACTCTGAGGAACCCCAGATTTTGGACTTTGTAGACAAAGACTTTAATTCAGCCTATCTTAGAAATGTTTAAAGAGCTAAAGGAAACTACCTCTAAAAAAAATAAAGTATTAGAAGGTTTCACCAAACAACATCAAAAAAAATTTTTTTAAAGAACTGAATAGAAATTCTGGAGCCAAAATGTATAATAGTTGAATTTTAAAAATTCACTTGCTGCAACCACAGATTTGGACAAGTCAAAGAAAGAATCAACACACTTGAAGATAGGTCAATTGAGATAGTCTGGTCTATGAAAGAAAAATAAAAAAGAATGAAGAAAAATAACCAGAGCCTTAGGAACCATGGGACACCATCAGTTGTACCCACGTATACATCATGGAAGTACTAGAAGGCAAGGACAGAGAAAAGAGGGAAGAAGAAAATATTGAAGAAACTGTAAGGTACTGCGGAATAAAGACCATGCCACGTGTGGAAAAGAAAGATTTATTGGAACCAGGGCTGTCACTGTTTTCAGGTTGAGAGTGGAACAGCTTGGCTGAATTGGGTAGTGGGCTTTGTAGGAGGGGCCAAGCCATGAGGACTGCAGAGAGTCTCTGGTCTCCCATTTCTGTGATCACCAGATGGAACTGGTCGACATTCCTGGCTAGTTGAATAACTGGAAGTTCCTGAGGTGTTTTTCAAGCAGAGAAACAAACAGGGGAGTTGGGCAAGCAGTCATAAATCAGGGGGTCTGGTTTCAGTGCTAGCTTTGGGATATCCACCCACCCCAAGAATGCCAGGGACTTAACAGCAACTATGGTCAAAACATTCCAAATTTGAAGAGAGACATTAGTCTACATATCCAAGAAGTCAATGCATTCCACGTAGGATAAACTGAAGATCCCCACTTAAACACATGGCAATCAAACTGTTAAAATCTCAAAAGCAGTAAAAGAGAAGGAACTCTTCATGTACAAGGAATCCTCAATAAAATTAGCAGCTAATTTCTTACCAGCCATTTGTACTGGAATGTAGAGGGAGGACATACTCAGTGCTAAGAGAAAAAAAAAAAAACTCAACCAAGAATTCTATATACCAGCAAAGCTATCTTTCAAACATGAAGTGTGACTTAAGACATTTCCATATAAAAGCTGGGATTATTAGTTGCTAGTACTAAAAGGAGTCTGTTGGACTAAGAGTAAAGGCCACTAAAGAGTAATTTAAATTTTCATGAAGATAGAAGAAAAAGCCCCAGTAAAGAATAGGTAAATGAAAAAGTATAGATGTATTTTTTTTGTATGTAAACTTCCCCCCATCTGATTTAAAAGCCAAATGCATTGTGCAATAATGAAAAATCATATGAAGTATTTTCTCTGACCATAAGGGAATGAAATTAGAAATCACTAACACAAGGAAATTTGCAAACATGGAAGTTCTATGACAGGCTTCTAAATAATAAGTCAAAAGAGAAATCACAAAAAAAATTAGAAAAATACTTGAAGATGAGTTAAAATGAAAACAAAGTTATGAGATGTAGTGAAAGCAGTGTGTAGAGGGAAATTTATAGTGTCAATGCCTACCTTGACAAGATCTCACATCAATAATCTCTCACCTTAGAAACTAGAAAAATAAGAGTACGCTAAACCCAAAAGAGAAGAAAATAATAACAAAAAATAATAGAGCAGAAACAACACAATAGAGAATTTTTAAAAAGAATACAAAGAATCAATAAAATCTAAAGTTGGTTCTTTAACAAGATTTTTTAAAAACTGACATATCTTTACTAAGACTGATGAAAAAAAAGAACTGATTAAAATTACTAAGACCAGGAATAAAAGGGGTTATTATTACTGTCCTGACAGAAATAAAAGGGATAAAATAACCACGTGTATATTTGATGCTCAGGCATCTTGAGTCCTTGCTAACACTGCAGCAGGGCTAAATCCTAGATAGCAAACAACTCACAGGTTAGCGTGCTTTTCATATGCAAACCAACCCATGCAGACTTCCCGCCTGCAGCCCACTTACTCTTCAGGCTCTCACATGCTGGGCCATTCAATTCCCCAGCCCTAATCACCCCAGGCCCCAGGTTTCAAACAACTAGAAACAGTCTCTACATATCCTAAAAGCTGCTGAAATTATTAAAACCAACCTACTCTAAGCTTGCTTGCCCTTCCTCACCAGTTTCACAGAAACCAACCGTAAAGCAAGCTCTGGCCCTCATTTTCATTTCTCCTTCCTCTCTCCCCCTTCCCTATACTGGTGTGTTCTTGTAACCCCCCCACCAGTGGCATGCTGTGCTGTGCCCTGTTTTTAGAGATCTGTGACTATAAAAAACTTCTTCCTTTGTGAGTCATGTATCCATGTATTTTGGCATACTGAGTAAAATGAATCCTGAGTACCCTTTTAAAACAGATTATGAAAGGTTTTAAGATAGAATAGAGGCTGGGCACCAGTGGCTTAGGTCTGTAATCCTAGCTACTTGGGAGGCAGAGATCAGGAGGATTGCAGTTGGAGGCCAGTCTAAAAAAAAAAAAAAACACTGGCAGAGTGGCTCAAGTGGGAGAGCACCTGAGTAGCAAGCATGAGTCCCTGAATTCAAACCCCAGTACCATCAAAAAAAAAAGGATGACTACAAAATATCCAAGTGTAATTGCCGTTGGATACCTGTGAGTCTGGCATTTAAAGAGGAGGTAGGGACTAGACTTGTGAATATACAGATGGTATTTGAATACACAGGTCTGGATGAGATCACACTAGAAGAGGGTATAAATTGAGAAGAGGATTCCAAGGACCTGCCCTGCCCTTCTGGTAGAGAAAGAGGAGACTAATAGAGCAAAGAAGGTTGAGAGAGAAAAGGCAGTGGGGTAAGACTAAAACCAGAATATGAAGTCATGAAAGTCAAGTATTTTAATATTTGAAGAAGGGATGATCAACTATATTGCCTGCCATCAAGAGACTGAGTAAAAGAGAATAGAAATGTCTGCTCCACAACAACCCTCCTAAAATTTAGTAGCTAAAAAGAACAGATTTTTCACAATTTCATGAGTTGACAGGGCTCAGCTGGGTAATTCTTCTGCTCCACATGGACTAGCTGAAGTTGCTCCTGTGGCTGCAT